CGGAGACGAAGACTCGATTGCTGTTCGGGTCTACGCCTCCAAAATGATCACAATTGTTGATCTCAAGAAAGTAACCGAAGAAATGAGTAAAACAAATACTAAATGCGAACCAAAATCAATAGCTTTACTGAAAGTAACGAAAACGAGACTCAAATCATTTGATGGCTTTTTTCCGTTCATATACTTGTCGGCCGAGAATAACCTATTAGTGAGCGGAGGACCCGACGGGCAGATAAGGCTCTATTTGACCGATCATTTGAGTGCCAAAAGCACTGAAACGACTGAAGCGGACAGAATTCTAGAGTGGCCTCTCATTGAGAACATTACTAAAAATAACCAAACAATTATTGACGACAAAAAGCCCGTTATTGTCAATACGGTTGCCATCAGTCCTGATCTCCAATACCTCATAGCCTGCACTCAAATGAATTTGCTTTGCATTTGGCATAAAGCGTGAGGTATTGTCAAAAGCAGACAAACAGTTCCTAAATCAAAGCCTAGTGTTTTTCACAAATTCTTGTGTCAATATAATTGTCAGTTTTAGTAGAGTTGTACTAAAGAGTAAGAGTTTTAGGTTTTGTATAATTATGTCTTTTTTAGTTACATTTTTTCATTTTTAATTAACGTTTTCAGTATTTTTAATGAATTTGTTTTTATCGATCAATATTCTCAACATTACATTCAATCATNGTTTTCAGTATTTTTAATGAATTTGTTTTTATCGATCAATATTCTCAACATTACATTCAATCATCTCTTGTATTAATATATTTATTCAAATTAAAGCCATATTTTGGTATAATTATTACCAAACAATACAAATCTGTTTACTATTTTATTATAACTAAAATCATATTTATTAATAAATAACATAGTATTATGAGTGAACATTTGCCTATACATTGCAGTTTAGACGATATTGCATTACAAAATAGTTGTGAATTGAACATGTTGATAAATAATAATTAAAATGTATAAATGTAATGATAACATAATGATGTAAGTTATGTGATTGAAATGCGCGCAAATGAGTGCCAATGCAGTGGTCATCCAATAGTGAGTTGAGTTGCGATTTGCAGGCATTAAAAGGCAAATAATGGCAACACTTGTAATGTTTACAAACACTGCAAACTCTATACAGAGTCGCACATAACAGCTGACAGTGTGTTTCCCTCCGCCTCTCATCACTATTACAGCCAATGATCGGCCAAAGGGTAGCCAATGGTTGACGCCTTGTGTTAATGCTATTCAATGCTATGAATGCTATGAATGGCAACACTTGACAACTATAACAGTATTGTAGAGTTGAATGCAATTTGACTCACAGTTGATCGTTGTTTACATTGATTACAATTAGTTTGCAGTATTGGCTGACCAGAGGTGACCCAAAGGTGACCACAACTCACAACAGTGTAAGTGTTGGAAGGGCTGAGTGGAGGGCTGGGGAGGGGAGGGAGGGGTCGGAGGGGTGGGGGAGGAGAGGGAGGGAGTGTTGAGTACAACACTATGTGTACAACAATATAGACTCATATGATATGACTTGACGTCAGCTGCGAATCACTGCGAACTCAATGACTGACTCAATGACTCAATAACTCAATCATTGAATGAGTGTTTGTTTCACACAATTATTGTATCCCTAATAGTGTCCACCAAAACATCACCACAACTGATCCACACATCACACCATTCCTACTGTCCATCGATTGTGCTCTCATTGGCCACGCATTCAACGCAAATAATGTCTTCTCCTTCGGCCGGAAAGCGTCGTATGGATACCGATGTCCTTAAACTGTAAGTGCATTCTTGTCATCACATCCATGGCCTCAATGGCCGCAATGTGTGGCCCAATGTTGCCATCATATGCTTGTGTCTCACATGTGATTGCATTTGAACCAATTGATTGCTTTTGATTGTGTATAGGATTGAGTCTAAACACGAGGTAACCATTTTGGGCGGTCTTAACGAGTTTTGTGTCAAGTTTTACGGACCCAAAGGCAGTAAGTCTTATGTCTAATCGCATACCACTTCCTCTGCCATCACTTACTGATGACTATATCTCTCACCACTTATAGCCTCATACGAGGGCGGAGTCTGGAAAGTGAGGGTCGATTTACCCGAGAAATACCCGTTTAAGTCGCCGTCCATTGGCTTCATGAATAAGATATATCACCCGAACATCGATGAAGTGTAAGTGAATGCGTGCGACCAATGCTGACAATGGTATCAATTGTGACCACTTATGCCCATTGGTTGATACGATAGGTCAGGAACGGTGTGTTTGGATGTGATAAACCAGGCGTGGACTGCGCTCTACGATCTGTCCAACATCTTTGAGTCGTTTTTACCTCAATTACTCACTTATCCGAATCCAATCGACCCATTGAACGGAGACGCGGCCGCTATGTATTTGCATAAACCTGAAGAATACAAACGCAAAGTACAAGGTATGGCATTGTCGTGGTTGTGGTGGTTGTGGTTGCGCTCGTTTGGCATCTAATCCATTGTCTTGTACTACTTGTGTTGTAGAGTACGTCAAGAAGTACGCCACCGAAGACGCGTTGAGGGGCGAAGAGGACGAGTCGGACAGCAGTGAGTCAACGATGAGTGACTTTTCTGATGACGAGACTAAGGATATGGAGCTCTAACACAGACTACCTGTGCTAACAATCATTCACTTCTGTCACATACGCTCATTGGTTGGCAATTGTCTCTTCAATCTATAGCTCTTTAACTGTTAAGCATTTTGGGAACAGTTGTGTCCAAATGCTGATCAAAATTAGAGGTTATTTGGAAACTATTTCATTGCAGTTCACATCAAAGCATTCATTATGAAAACGCATTCATTTTGTAAATTAATCTTAAATCTCATTTGAAAACATCATAATTAATATACAAATTATTATTCATTTACATTTCGGGGCTTTTCTGATCAGTTTTAATGGCTTTTTCTTTAGGTGTTATTCTTAGATTGAAATATATATAAATAATATGTAATAATACGTGAAATATATGATAAATTTGATTACAATTATGCCAATACTTATTATAATTACCAGAACTTTATTGTGTTTTTTGTTATATTTTAATATTAAGATTTAAAACAGATGTGTGTTTTCATCACAACCTCTAAACTGTTCTGTATTTTGGATCTTAACTACTATATTAAGTCTTACATTAATGTTATTAAAGTTTTAATCTTAAGCCCCAATTATTATATGAAATACATTATCAAATATTAGATTACTATTCAAATTAAATATAACTTATCTTTTGATTTAAGAGAATATTATTTTAACTTTTTTAATACATTTGACATTAATTTTGTTGAAATGATTAACAAAATGATTACAATATATTTATTAGGAATACAACCATATTTTCAACAAATAATGAAATAATGATTTACTCGAATAAAATTGTTTTTATTAATAATTGGTCATGTCTTGTATTTATTGTCTATTGAACATTACAGTCACCACACCGTACATACTGTACATACAGTAGTCACCTAATAGTTGTGTCCACAGGTGTACCCCACATGTGACCATATTGTCAACTAAGAAACGGGTACCACATTAGTCACTGTATGTATAGATTGTAATCAAAAATTAATGTCAATCATATATTCATAACAATTATCAATTGTTATGGACTATAATTTTGACCATTCACAATTACTTAATCATATTATTTTGTAGTGCAGTAAACCATTACTAATATATCATTAGTTTGTATGAAATCAATCAATCATTATGGGCAAAATTAAACATTAAAATGTTGTGTAATATAATTTTTAAACAGTGCGATCACACAGCGATGCCATACGTTAACCACAATTCGGAAAATGCATCAAACATTTCAAATTTTACAAAGATATTGTTAGGTCGCTTAAATATTGTTATTTTGACCATTTTGAATATTTTTAACAACAATTAGTTTATTAAGATTTCAGAAATCCATAGAAAAAGCATAATCTCAACCATTATCTCTATACATAAAGCATTATTTCATTATTCCTATATACTTAACATTACCCATAGGATTAGCATTGCCATGGACTCAACATTACCCATGTTAAAACATTAAAACATGTCATAGACTTAAGCTGTAATCCCATGTGAAACCTCATAGAATGGGGAGACTGGGGAGGGGGAGGGGAGGGGGGGCCGAACCATCGTAATGACCACAATTCAGAATCTGAATTTCAGAATAACTGCTTTTATTGGGAAAAATGTGAAAATGGAATGTATTTTATGGATAAATATGTCGAATGGAAGACGATTTGATATTTCGGTGAATAAAGTTCAATATCTCGGAACCACTTAAGCAATCAACTGCTGTCTTCACGGATCTATCACCAGATAGTCTGCGCTCAAAAACGCAATTCACACTAAAGTATGGTCCAAATGAGCGGTGCATGCATATTGAGCGAGGTGAGGTCAAAGTAAAAGTTAGGTTTTTAAATAAAAAGTCCATACTAATTAAAAGTTCATAGAGATTATGATCGAAGAATCTATTTTTATCAAATGAACATTACTGTTAGTCTCTGTGGACTTCATTCGAATTATGCTTACAATTGTAATTAAGGATAAATATTAAATTTTTTATACGCAATTTTTGGCATTTTACCAAGTAACACTGAACAAATCTCTTTACTAAAGAGTCTTTAGAATGCAAAATATATACGATAAACTTTCAGACATACAGTTAAACGTCTTTCCTGTAAACATCGATGTTATGAACCTAAACCGAAATTCATACTCAATAGACTTAATGTTAAACTAACATCGATGCTGTGAACTAATCGGTGTTATAAACAAAAACACCAA